TGTGTGTGTGTGTGCTGCTGAGACGTTGTGCAGACACTCTGCTGCAGGTTCAGTTGTGTAACGTTTTGGAGGCAATTGAAACTGAAGGTCGTCTTCTGCCTGTCTGATGACTCGCAAGTCAAACCGTAGAAGAACAGACACATTATTATTATTGTGCAGGAAGCTTTTTACTCTGACAGAACCTGAAAGGGACGTTTAAAGATGAAAGTGTGTGAGTGCTGCAGCAGAGTCTCTCTCCTCCTCCTCCATCATGTCGTCTGTCTCTACCGTGGTTTGCTTTTAACCGTGTTTCCTCTGGTGGTCTTTACCCAAGCCGCAGGACTCACCGGCATGTTTCTTCCTCCTCCTCATCATCAACATGTTTGTGATCGTCAGACGGCTCCAACGTCTGCCCTCTGTTTACAGGACGGTAATTATGTGACGCTTAATTAACTGGAGTAAAAAGGGGCACTGTGGTCTGGAGATTGGCATCACTGAGCGGCCGGCCGCCGGCCGCGCCGGGCCAGAGGGAGAGAGGCAAAGGACGGNTGTGACATATAACATACGCGTCTGCAGCCCTTTATAAACAATAACAATGGTATTAACATGGCAGTAACGATCGTTTACCCTCCCTGTTTTATGGTGACTGATCTCATCCTCTGCTCGTTGGTTAATTAGCTCCTAGACCTCATTGTTTTCCCAATTTCCAGATATTTTCAGCCGTTGTTCTTTTTCTTTGAGGTAGCTGCTAACTGCTAACAGCTACTTTTTAAACTCCCGTGGTGGGTTGCAACTGTCATCAACCGTCACACCCATACCTGACTTAGAAGTCTTACATTCAATTAAAATATTTTTGGACTTAAAGGTAGTTCAATAGACATTTGATCTCATTGTATGTATCCATCCTTTATTTATTTATGTCAAAATAAGTTTAGCTCTTCTGCATGAAAGTCCACTTTTCTGATGTCACACACCTTTAATACTGTCTTCTTACTTAATACTTGCACCTGTTCAAAATTATAGATTACCCTAACTCACTACATATATACTATTTACCCTTATATTTACCTGAAAGGCTTAAATAAGAAAGTTTTAAATTTGGTTAAAAAATATCTTCTTCTTAAAAAGCCTTAAATGTTAGTGTCTGATTCCTCCCTGAAACTGGTCTGTAAAAGTAGAATTCCATTTAAGAAGACAACTGTATCTTCTTCTTTTCAGACACCTCAAAGCTCCAGAACCCGAGCAGGAAGCAGTCCGTCTCCAGAAGTCTGAAACACCTCTTCAACTCCTCCAACAAGTTTGTGAAAACACTGAAAAGGTTTGAGCTCAAACTCTTTTTCTGTGACTCTCTAATGTTTCCAGTTAAAGTCTCAAAGAATTATATGCTGAAAATAGTCCCCAGCAAAGCACCATTTATATGAAACAACAGTCTGCAGCTGTTTTAGGAGATCACTGATAAAACTATATATTTGTCCTTTAAAGATTTATGTCTTCAGTAGAAACCAATGAGATTTACAGATTTATTATCTTTGGAAACTTTAAAATCCCCACGAGAATTTAAATAAAGTTCTGTGAGTCTGTTTATCTACATAACGTGAATTTGTTCAGATCAAGTCAGTCATTAGGTGTGAGAGATTAATACTGTGGTGGAAGAAGTACTCCTAAGTAATAGTACCAGTACCACAACGTAGAAATACTCCATTGCACCTAAAAGTCATGCATTGAGATATGCCTTATCAAAAGAACTTGTTTTGCAGATAATCAGCCCCTGTGACTGATGAAAGTTATAATTAAATTGATTATAATTTCTCTAATCTCTAATCTTTTTATGAAGTATTGTAGTTTTATCTCTTTGGGCCTCCAACAATATTGAAAATACATGTGTTTAGAGGTTTTTTTTGTAAAATCTTGATTTAAAAAGAAACTAAGATTGTCTGATAAATGTGTCAGTGGAATAAAAAGTACAATATTCAATACTTAGTTAATACTGGGGATGTTTCTGGCGACTGATTGCTCTGTCGACTAAACGAAAATTTTAATTAAGACTAGTCAACTAGTCTAAAAAAAGGAAAACACTCAGAAAACAGTCAAAATAGTGTGTGTAATACTGTGATAGTCTGGAGACCTGTCCAGGGTGTGCCTCTCACCCAGTGTCAGCTGGGATAGGCTCCCTGCTAGAGCTTAGAGATATAGGTCGTAGAGATGTCTGTCTTCTCTCCAATATAATGGAACTAGATAGACTCAGCTTGAGGTGCTTAAAAAAACAGCAAAATACATTTTAAAACTTAACAGCGATGTCTCTTTCTAGAGATCATGACCTGGTTACTCAGTATAATCCACAGAGCTTGTTGTGAGCAGTTTTATGTAGGAACTATTTTCTTTCTACTGAACCGCACCCACCAACCGGATCACTGCGCAAAAGGAAGCATGTATCTTCTCATGGATGAGAGGCTCGTGCTTGTGACAGTGTGAGATGTAAACAGTAATGGCGTCCTCCTCCTCCTCGGCTGAGCTGTGACATCAGTTAGCTTAGTGATGCTAGGTGAACTTGCAGTGGATGCACTCTGCGAAGAAATACCTGATCTATCCAACACCTGGCAACTCACACCAAGACAATCTAGACTGATAAATGGCGCTACAGGCAAGAAGAAAAAAATATATTTGGGATTTTGTGGTGAACTGTCCCTTTAAGTTCTTTAAACCATAAATACCTGAATATATCTTCCGCTGTAGACGGATGCCTTATTTCATGTCTCAGTAAATTGAAAAACTTAATGTTTGAAGCATTTTAACATCAATACATGAAAGAAAAAGCACCAAATGTAATTCCCATGATGCACCTGTCTGCAGGGGGATCTACCTGGCAGCTGTGTTCTACCATAAAGACAGTTTACTGGTGACAGCGGAGGACCAGATCCCCATTGTGGAGGTGGACGACTCCTACAGCAGCTCCCTCATGCAGGACTTCCTCTGGTTCACCAAGGTAACAGCCTTACTGTGTTTTTACCCAGCATGCAAAGCAATACATGGACTTCTTCTATACTTACTGACCAGGCTACATTTTTTATTAAAAGATAAATATAACAAGGATGTAACAAGACAATGGCGACTTTGTGCAGAGAACCACAGAACGACTAAACATTAAGAGAGCGAGGTGTGTTGATTCTGCAGAAACTGAGTATTCAAACTGTTTCTAATAATCAAAATCAGTAAGTATCAATAAATTGATATGTTTGACAGCACTATTTAGGACACAAGTCAAACTTCTCTTTGAATTCAGGACTTTAAAGACTCTTTTTTTCCCCTCTCTGTTTCTACACCTGCTCAGTGAACAACACGCAGCATGTTAATCAGAAAGCTCACTCTGATGGCTGGAAGGTGTTTTCTTCTTCCACTCGTGTTGGAGCTGTGAAAGTGTGATTCTCCCCTGGTGTTTTGGTCACACTTCACGCTGTGTCACTTCCTCTGAGTGTTTATCAGAGAGCGGCAGTCTGTAGTTGGAGTAATCAGGTGTGAAGTGCTCGTTGGATTTCCTCAGACGTGTTTTTAATCCGTGACTCTGTGGCCTACATCAGACTGCTGTTGCCGCCCCCAAACACACCGCACAGGCACTTTGCTTTACGAGGCGCTGCAGTTTAATGACTCTCTGCCTGTAGTTAACTGTCTGTCCGTCTGTCTGTCTGTCTGTCTGTCTGTCTCTGCAGCTGTCCTGCATGTGGGAGGACGTCCGGTGGCTGAGACAGAGTATGTCAGTGTCTATGTCGTCGTCCTCCACCCTGCAGGCTCGCCACAAGATGCTCACTGCCGCTGGCCAGCTTCAGGTCAGCACCCACAAAACTACAAGACATGAACCCGAAAGTGACGTCATGCAGGTTTTAATCAGCGTTAATAAAAAAGATGTCGCCATCACACACGTCAGTGAATAAACTGAATCACAAGTGTAGATTTGTTTGAGTCCTCCTGCTTTTATTCTGCATCCAGTTTGTGTCTAAACCTTCAACACAGGCTCATTTGTAAGTTAGAACTTAATAAAACTTCATCATCTTAACTCAGCCCAACTCAAGTTTATTTGTAAAGCACATTTAAAAGCATCTCACGTTGACCAAAGTTCTGCACAAAAGGAATAAGTTACTAAAAACATATATGAGAGGCAACATAACTGACACACAGTCACAGCTCACACATTCAGAGACACAACACACACAGGCAGACGTCAGAGAAAGCCTCGTCAGGAAGACTCAAACGCTGATGAATAAAAGTCTGAGTCTGGACTTAAATGAGTCAGTGGAGGGGGCAGATCTGATTGGATGCTGTTCCACAGTTTGGGGGCAGACAGGGCAAAGGCACGATCACGCCTGAGCTTGAATCTGGAGCGTGGGACAGCGAGGAGCCCCGGGTCAGCTGACCTGATGATTCTACTTGTATTATTATAATCTTGTTCTAACATGTTAAAGTGTGCGTCTTCTCATCCTGCAGAACCTCCTGGGGACTCACAATCTGGGCCGCGTCCACTACGAGCCCATCAAGGATCGCCACGGCAACGTGCTGCTGGTGACCATCCGTGACACGGAGAGCCAGCACTCGCTGTTCAGCGGGAAGTGGATGCAAGTGACCAAACTGCAGAGCCAGAGGAAATCGCTGTCCACACCTGAGGAGCCGTACGCCCTCGACATCCTTATCATCACCATACAGGTGAGGAAGATTCACTCCCCTGACCACAACATGTTTTATATGTTATAACTGTATTTCCCGCCACCCATGCTGCCACCATGGACACAAGAGCCCTGTTTCTTCCAAACCCTTTCAGTACAGTCCCTTTGGAACCAGCAGTAACCCTTCAGACATGGTACCTAGACCCTTGGTCTGTTCAGACAGTCCTCTTAAATGTGGGCGGGGTTGTTGTCACTCACTGCTCCGTCCAGCACTCGCTGTATTTCCTCATCAGCGGTGACACAGATGGAAGTCTGCACCTGGTTTATCGTCCACAGAACGAGGCTGAGTGAATGAAGTTATTTCTTTCTCAGTCTACAGCTGCTGTGAGAGGCAGCAAAACATCCTTTCATTTTATAGTTTTAGTTTACTGATGTATGAACAGTGGTTTGCATCCTGACTCTTCATCTTCAGGGAATTTAAACCATTTAATTGAAAAAGAAACCAACTGTTTATCTTCCTTACACACAAACAAGCCTCCAAACTTAGTTAAAAATGAGAAGGAGCCTGTAATAAAGTTATTTAATTATTAGTCAGCTTGTTTTACACAATCATATTGTTGTTCCAGGAGGCAGCAAGTGGAGGCCTAGAGACTTGTGCTTATAGAACACGACTCAGATACGCTGTTGTTCTGAAACAACAGACACTAGTGACTGACAGTTTAATTGTCTCTGTCCTGCAGGACATCTTGGCGTACCAGCGGCGCAGCACCCACCGGCTGGCCCCCGGACTTTATCTGGGCTTCCTGAAGCTCAGCAGCTCTGTAGACCAGATCAAAGTCCTGGTGTCCCAGCGGACCCCCAACATGCTGTGTCACGCAAGAGTACGAGACAATGCCAACGTCTCCAGGTATAAACTCACACACATACAAACACACACATACAGATGATGCTCTGTGTAAAGAATAAAAACACAGAGATTTTATTGATGTGAAAGATAAATAAAGCACAAAATCAGCTCAAGGCTAAAGTGACTGAGTGGGCAGAAAGAGAGTCGTGACACAGAGATGAAACCAATGTTCTCAGGAAGAGGAGAAGGGAACACTCAGATGATTCATCACTGAAGGAAACACAATGTTCAGATTTACTCGTCTCTGACACTACGTGTGACGCTTTCAATCCATAAGGTACATCTACAGGCATGTGAAGACACCGCTGTGGAGTTTTGTTTGAATCAGCAGCTCCTCTCAGCTTTACAGGGCTTTATAGTGACTGTCAGCTCACTGTTTATCTGTACAGACACATGTGTATGAATCATCAGTTCACTCAATGTAAAGGTTGTATGAAGCTTGTAAGTGACTGATCAAAAGATTTATTAACGATGCACAATAATTAGATAATATGCAACATCATGCTAACGAGTTCAGCAGCAGAGCTAATAGACTTCTTACGCCTCTGCGCCGGAGATAGCCGTGGCTGGTTTGGTGGTCAAAGGTCAAAGATCAAGATCATTCTGACCTTGTCTGTCTCATTCTCGTGAACGCAATATCTCATGAACACTGTGAGTGAATTTCTTCAAATTTGGCACAAATGTTCACCTGGATTGGATTTTGGTGGTCAAAGGTCACCAAAATTCTCCTCATGATTCCGGTTTACTAGCTATTCTCATCCTCCTTGATCTGAGTGCAGCCTTTGACACTATTTCTTACACCATCCTCCTCAATAGACTATCCTCCATCAGCATCTGTCACACCCCCCTGGACTGGCTTCACTCATATCTCTCTGGCCGCACACAGTTCATTAAACTCAAGTCCTTCAGTTCCCAGCCCTCCTCCGTTACTTCAGGTGTGCCCCAAGGCTCTATCCTGGGCCCCCTTCTCTTCATTATCTATCTCCTCCCAGTTGGCAATATTTTACGTAAATCCAACATTTATTTTTTATTTTTTCCCTGTATTGTTTCTTCTGTGTTGTTGTCTGTCCTTGTTGTTATTTATTACTTTGTTTACTATTGTACAGTGACCTTGAGTGTTTTGAAAGGCGCTTTTCAAATAAAATGTATTATCATTATTATTATTATTATTATTATCATTATTATTATTATTATTATTACTGAGACCTCACAAAATATGTTTTTGGCCATAACTCAAGAATTCATTTTTCAATTATGACAAAACAGGAACAAGATAAAATAATGAAGTTCAAAGGTCAGCTTGACTGTGACATCATCATGTTTTAACGTCATATCTCAGGAACAGAAGGGGAGACATTTGGTCAGATACTGAATTGGTGACTCTAATCTTGAAACTGTGCTGATTATATAGATCTTCTGTGTGGGAAGCATCCATGTTTTCACTGACATGGATGGAGACTGTCAGAGACACTGGACTGGTGGGCGGAGTCATACAACCACAGGGTGGGCTGGTGGGCGGGGTCATACAACCACAGGGTGGTAATTCTTTGTGTGTCATGAAAATGGAAATAAGAATATTCAGCAGACAACAGGACGATTCATCGTTAAATATCTGTGCTGATAAATTGTGTGTGTGTGTGTGTGTGTGTGTGTGTGTGTGTTTGTGTGTGTTCAGGGAGGAGTGGGACTGGATCCAGACGCTGTCAGCTGCAGGTGAGAAGAGTGAGGAGGCGGAGTCCAGACCTGAAAGCCACGCCCCATTACTGTACTACGAGCTGCAGACGTCAATCAAGTCTCTGCTGAAACACCTGAACCTACCTCTGCACCAGGTACACACCTTTGCCTTGTTGCGTAAAACCACCTGGGCAAAGGTTGCCCTTGAATTTTCATCGAAGGGTTCCTTAGAAAATGAGCTGCATAAAATCACCATAAGGATTTCCTTTGGATGTTTCAGGGGAAACCCTTTAATCTCTAAGTGTTTGCCCTTAGCTGCTGAAGTATTCCCTTATGCACTGCTAGAAGGTCCTTAGAAACTATTTTTAAGGGATCATACCTGTCAAAAGTTAAATAATCTGTGCAACAAGACAAGATCTGAATATATGGTGATTGAAGAGGAGGAGGAAACACAGACACATGTTTTTGGGACAGGAAGAACCCATTGGACACACACCGTCAGTCTGTCCTCAAAATCACTACTAAATATCAGTTGGACCTTTAACACTGATCTACTACTTTGTATTACTGATGTAACTGAGGTCTAATGTGTAATCTGCATCGTTAAGGCAGACGAGCATCAACGTTATGTGGGTCGTGTGTGTGTGTGTGTGTGTGTGTGTGTGTGCAGGCCCGTCACTTCCGTCTCTACAGTCAGGAGGTGGTGGAGCTCGGCCACGGTGTCTCCTTCCTGCTGCTGCTGCCGGCGGCCGACGATGTTTGCTCTGCCCCCGGACAGTCCAACCCCTACACCCCCCTGTCAGGGTTCCTCCACCTCCCTTTGCAGATGTTTGAGCTCGGTAACAACACACACACACACACACACACACACACAAGGGCTGAGTGATAGGGACAAAAATTCATATCTCTGTATTTTCAAGCTGAGCGGCGATACACAGTATATCTCTGTGTTTTCTATGAAATGAGCTCCATGTTTAGTTACAAGTCAAAGACACATTTGAGACGTCACAATCACTTTTATAAAAACAGAATGTGATCAAAATAAAATGCAAAAGACAGGGATTGTTTTCTCTGTTTGAAAATAAACAGCTGCCCAACGTGGAAATGAAAAAATGATATAAAGTAAATATCAGGGCTGTACATTATCTGTGTGTGTTTGCTAGCTTCTAGGTGTCTGACCTGGCAGCTGTAGCTCCGCCTCTATTTCCTTCCATGCTTCGTCATGGTTAGAGCTGGTTAGAGCACATCACAAGGCTTCACAAGGTTTTCCTCACATTTCTATTAGTGCTTTAGTTTTGCCTCCATGGCGAGCTGCTGTCCGCTGTGTTTGTTTGGCTCATTTCATGCTGTGTTTCTATTGGTTGGTTAGTAGACATAGGTGGTAACAGGCTGTCTTTGATCACAGACCGTGACGACCGCCATCCTTCAACCTCTCTCACTGTGTGACATAGGATCACCGTTTTAGAGCCACGACCACAGATATCGCCACGTTTCTTTCATGTTGGTCATCTGTGGTCTGGGACAGCCCAAAATCCCAAAGTGTATACCGGGCTTTACTATAGTAGAGCGTGAGAGAGAGAGAGACGCAAATATATTGATATATCATACATAGTCATTACATCGCCCAGACCTAACACACACACACACACACACACACACACACACACAGAAATCAATTTTCACATGACAGTTTTTACTCCCTTTCCTGTCCAGTGTATTCAGATGATGTTTGTGATAAACTGAAGGATGAAGTGTTTCTTCATGTGTTGAGAAAATTCTCCTCCTTTTTAAACTAAATAAACTCTTTAAAACCCCTCTTTGATCAGATGGAAACAGTCGTCATCACACAGCTGAAAACAGGCTGTTTAAGTGGAGTTAAAATGAACCTTAAACATCCTCACTGAAATGCAACATACACATTAATGCAGCTTCATGCAGGACGTCTGCGCTGACTGAATGTGTTGAGGTGGACAGACTGAGCTGTGTTACACACACACACACACACACACACACACACACACACACC